TGGGGACGGGTGGCCGTTCGCCCGCAGACGTTGTCCGGGAGCCGCCGACCATGGATGACAAAAAGGTGGGATGGGGAGCGCGGGGTCCTTCTCGTCCTCTTTCCCCTCGCCGCTCGGGTACCCGGGCGCTTCGGCGGAGGGCCGGGCAGCGGGGATGCTGTCGCGACCGGCGGGCGGCCGGGGTTGGTTGTCGGCTCGGTGGCCGCCGCCGCCGGGTGTCTTGGTCTCAGTGAAGATGGATGCGGCGGTGGTGCCGGCAGGGCCGCTGCTTGGCCCCTTCGGAGGGTGGCTCGGAATAAACCCCCATCTGCGGGAGGGGAGACGGGGCGCGGGGGCGGGCGCAGTTTGGAACGGGTTGCTGTAGGTCGCAGGATCGATTTGGTTTCGTGCGCGTGGCCTGATGATGCACATGATGCTGTTCGGGTTTTAGGGTATTGATCACGAGGTTTGTTTTGCTGGCAGCGCCGCACTCGGTTTGTCTCAGGGTTTAGGATGCTAGAAGGGGGGTTGTTATAAAAGGCATTTTGTTTGGTGGTGGCATGATGTATAAAGGCATTTTTAAATTTCAAGAAGGCGGCGAAGTGTATCTTTCCCTTCTTTCTCCTATGGAGAAAAGGGGACATTTGTCGATATCGTAGTTCATCTGCAGCTGAGAGTGAGGTGTGTAGCAGTGGCGTGAGCTCATGATGTGGTGTGTTTGAATGTACCAAGAGAGACAGCAAATTCCCAGCGGAACCCGGAGCGGGATGCCGGGGGATTATAGTTAGACGGGAACAGCAGGATCGGGGAAGGACGAGGCCTTGCATCGCCATATTGATGGGGAGATGGGGGCAGTGCGAGAGGATGAGGCAGAGAAAAGGGGAGCGCCCGGTCAAGGTCGCTTAGAGAGGCTGCTCTCGTTGGGCTCAACAAGTTGTACAGCTCTGGAGTTCCACTCGGTGACGGAGGGGAGCTGGTGAGGAGCATCTCCTGGATAACGAATGCTACTGATGCCTGTGGTCGGAGAGAGGGGGTTGGTGTGAATTCCTTGCTGGTGTACAGACCTCAGCCTTGAGCCTTTAGATAGAGTGGGTGGAGCTGTACTATTTCTGAGCTCCCTGTTTGCCTTTTGGGGAGTGAGGCAGTTGCAACAGTAACAAATGATCCATACACTGGATCACGGCCTGGCTCATTGGAGGGTATGGGTCATGCCACGTGATGGCTGGGTGGTAGGAGGCTGGGTAGGAGACAAATAGCAGGCGACAGCCAGGAGAAGGAAGTATGAAGGAGGGCAGAACAACTTATAGCTTATGTATGTGCCATGTAGGTGAGGGGTACCCACAAAGCAAGGTACCGGAAGCAAAAGGCCAGCTGTGGTCATCGCAAGCCATGACAAAGCAGAGTCCTGGGGGAAAGGTGCTCTTGAGTTGCAGATGGGTTTTTTTGTTCGCAGTTTAACTATACCTACTGACTAAAGATGACCTAGCCTGGGGTCTTAAAAGTGCTTAAATATTGTAATGCCTTTTTACAGCATCGTCCAGATGCTTTGAAAGAGCTGTGTCCTTGTGGTTCTGTGCCAAATTTTCTCGAGATAAAGATGAGGGGAGAAGTCACAGGGTGCCATGGAGAATGCCTAGACTGCCTAGGGTGTGTTCAGGTGTGAATGCTACCTCGGTGAACATCTGCACCTTGTCCCCTCTGTCTCCATTACTGACCTCGGCAGGAAGAGAACTCAAGCTTGAGACATTTACATGATGTAGGTGGAGGAAGCCATGCCCGAGAGTAATTTCCTCAGTTTCTGTTTACTGGGGCCGAACTGGTAGGCGTCTTAGGGTTGTGCAGACCAGAAGGACATACATGCTTGGCTTGAAAGACTGGTGAAGGTGGTATGAGCACTGGAAGAAGGCTATTATCAAAAACTGGGCAGTTCTGTGAGCCGCTACTGGAGCTGGGCTAGAAAGTGAGCGACTGAAAGAGCTGTGATAGTAGGCCCCACCAAGTACTTATCTCTACTCTGCCAGTATAAGTACAATAATTGGAAAGTCTTGGAAAAGGGACTGTTAGTATTTTTGGAAAAGCTTCCAATCCCTCCTGAGATGGAAACACGATCTTTCCAAATTGTGCCAACTCAAGCACTGTTGGCCTAAGCGCCAGCTCCTGAGTCACCTGCTCCCCCACACCTCCCTCACTTGGAGCTGGCTTAAATGCCACAAGCTTCAAAAACGAATAAAATGTCATATGTTTTTCACTGACACATTTCTCAGTATGTGAGACTTCTCAGGGTTGGACCTTCCAGCTTTCTCCATGGCTCTGAGGGCTCAGCAGTTTTTATTTTAATTTAACAGAGATTGCCATATACTGAAATTCCAGGGAGTGTGCTTCATTTAAAATATCAACTATTGCCACAGCTTCAAGAAAAATAAACGGGAAGGTTGGCAGTAACTGTTGCCATCTCTGAGGGAGGCTGCTGTGCCAGGTGCCCTGGGGCAGGGTTGGGAAGCTCTAGCCTGGGAAAAACAAGCCTGTTGCTGAAGAGTGCGTGTTGTAACTGTTAGGAGTGACTGCCAGTGTAGCTCATGGGCAGATCTGAGACTCAGTTTATGGGAACTTGTCAGCTGGCACAGGAAAGTTAGACCCTTCTTTCATGACACGCCAGAGATCAGCAAAAGCTTCTGTAAATCAGATCAACCCAAAATAACAGCTACTAATGCAGCCAGTGTATTCATTACTAATGAGCTGAGAATAGTTGTTAAAGGTCGGGAGATAATAAAGGGGAGGCCCTGACAAGGCCTCCCACTTGTAGCTACAGAACTTTTTCCTTCTGTACAGTTGCATTTCCCTTTCCAGGGAGGGAGATCCAGGGGATGCTACTGGTAGGTACCTACCTTTGCTGGATGAAAGGCCATTCCCGGCCCTTGGTGCACTTGCATATGGCACCTATGAGGTGCAGCTGCTGTTCATGCTGAAGAGAAACTCAAGTTGATTAGAAAGTCAAATTAACTGAATGTTTTCTCTCTCCACAGAAAGTCACAGCACCCCTTATCTATGCTGTTTGCATTGCTGCCATTGGCTCTCTTCAGTTTGGGTACAACACTGGTGTCATCAATGCACCTGAGAAGGTGAGAGCAAGAATGGGCTGGGGAGATGGTATGAGTGAGGGGCTGATGGGAAAACAGAGGTATACAAAGGAGAGGGACTGTCATCCAAGCTTATAATTTGGTTCTGGTTTATGAAGTCAATAAGACGTTTAAAGTCCCCTTTCAAATACAACAATGGACAGGAAGGGCAAACTTTTGGGGAGGAGAAAGAGCACACAGAGAGGTTAATTCTCGTAATTGGGGGGGGGGAGGGCAGGAGGGCTCCATCTGCCATATGTAGTATGTGGAGGAATGTGAACGACTTCGATTTTGAGTCAGAATAAACCAGCCATGGCAGAAGGAATGTAGCAAGCAGTGTGCAGAAAACAGTGGAGGGTTGGTAAGGATTACAGTTGCCCTAGTTTAGTTTATTTCAGGTTTCTTTATTTTCCTTGTTTATTCATTCCTTGTGTTAAGTATAGATTCAGTGCTTGCAAAAGAGTTGTGACTTGGGCACTCTGACCAAATCATCTCATGACTGTAGCCTAAGAAAGGAGAGATGAAGAAAATGAGAGATGTGGTTTTCATGTAACTTTAAGATGGTTCCTCTCTCAAGAACTGAGTCACCAATACCACATCCACCCTGTCTCCGGGAAGAGATGTCACATCACCAGCGGGATGGGGGATGGGGGTTGGTCCTCCCTAGATAATGTCCTGCTGCCATCTGCTGGGGACAGGCACTCTGTCCCCCCTAGCCCATGCAAAATTTCCCTCATTATCTGGGGGAATGCCTTTGAAATCAGCGTCATGGCCTTGTTGAGTTGTTTTACATAATGCTGCTTTTCAGCCTTACTTCAGTGAAGCCTTGTGTCTCTTTTAACAATGTCCATACCAGAAAGCCCCTCCCTGCTTCCAGTGTTTTGGTATTGCCAGAAATGTCCCCTTCCATTTTCTGTTCACGTTTTCTTGTTCCCTTTCACTCCCAACTGTCTCACACCTCCTCCCGAGAACCACCAGTGACTCACCTAATCCAAAATACTCAGAAGATAAGCCTGTTTTCCCTAATAAACACTGCTGTCTTGTGTGTACCCCACCTGCCCACCCTCACCCCCCAATTCAGTGAAGCAATCTCTCCCTCATCATGCTATTTCCTCTTTCTGCACCCTCATCTTCCCCTTGTATGACTTGTTGCTGCCTGCTGATTTTTTTTTTTTTGAGTGGGGGGGTCTATTGTTTTCATGGCAGCAAGAAAGACAGTAGTCTGCCCTCTCCCCAGTGCAAAATACCTCCTTCTGGATTGTAACTCTGTCTCCACCTGATCTCTTGCAGATCATCCGGACGTTCTTCAACAAAACCCTGTCAGATAGGAGTGGGAGGGCTGTCTCCCAAGAGCTCCTCACGTCCCTGTGGTCCCTTTCTGTGGCCATCTTCTCAGTAGGAGGTATGATCGGCTCCTTCTCAGTCAGCGTGTTTGTCAACAGATTTGGCAGGTAAGTTGGGATGGGGGATACAATCTGTTAGGGTATTTTTCCCTTCTGCAATGCAGTTTTGGGAGGAAGAGAGCAGAGGTGAGCGGAAGGGAGGAGGAGATGTCTGGGGATGAAGCAAGAACGTGGGCTGCAAAAAGAAAGGAAAGGTTTCAGGTCAAGGCAGGAGCTGAATGGGTATTATTCTGTTCCCACCACTGAGACAGGAGATCATGGTCAGGTTTATCCTCCTCCCAGTGATTTTCCTGTTGGCAGTTTAAGCTCAGTCTTAACATCTTTTCCTGGGCAGGAGGAACTCCATGCTTCTGGTGAATGTCTTGGCCTTTGCTGGTGGCCTTCTCATGGCCTTCTCTAAGGCAGCAAAGGCAGTGGAGATGCTGATTATTGGCCGCTTCATTATTGGCGTCTTCTGTGGTCTCTGCACCGGCTTTGTGCCCATGTACATCAGTGAGGTCTCACCTACCAGTGTCCGTGGAGCTTTTGGCACCCTCAACCAGCTGGGCATTGTTGTGGGCATCCTGGTGGCTCAGGTAGGCTTGGCACAACCTGCTCATACCCGTGGGGGAGGGAAAGGAGGGCTGGGGGAGGGTGAGGAGGGCTGTACTTGCCATCAGGTGCAGTATGTGGTCCTGTAATACTAGGGTGGGAGCGAGGAACTGAAGTGTTTAAATCACTCTGCTTTCTCTCTAATTCTTGGTGTAGATATTTGGCCTTGATGGAATCATGGGGACTGAAGCACTTTGGCCACTGCTTCTGGGGTTCACAGTCCTCCCAGCAATCCTGCAGTGCGTGGGTCTTCTTTTCTGCCCTGAGAGCCCCCGTTTCCTATTGATCAACAAGATGGAAGAAGAGAAAGCACAAGCAGGTAAGAACTCATCTCGAAGGGGCAGGGCAGTGTTCTGGCTCCCAGCCTATACTGAGCTTGAGTGGGAGGCCAGGTCTGACTCTGGAGCCTGTGGTGGATTAGGGTGTGACTCCTGGAGGGCATCAGGCCTGGTGTACCCTCCCATCCTTTAGGTTGCACCAATGCCAGAAAGCATGAGAAACCTGGCATCCCAACAGAGGCTCCAGGTGGGATTAAGACTTGAGGAGTGGCACCTGGCCTGGTGGGAAGCAGCAGGATGAGCTGCTGCCACTCCTTCTGAAAGGCAGGAAATAGGATGACATTTAACAAGGAGCTTGGAGGTCTGAGATCAGCTCTGGTAAGAGCATGAACAGAATTTGAGATCAAATATAAGCTTGGAGATCAATCAACATGACTAGGGCCTGTGCCTGATTTCCATGTTGATCACAACACCCTGACCTGGGTTGAAAAGATGAGCAAGGCTGCATGTAGAGGCTTGGTCTTTCCCGTGTAACAGGCCCAAACACCAGCTGGCAGGTGTTCCACTCTTCCTGCTGTGCCCTTCCTGAAATAGCAGGGCAGGATACAGACACGCACCCATGGCCGGTAGGTCTGAGTATTATGCCTGACATTTTTTGATTCCTCCCTCCAGTTCTCCAGAAGCTCCGTGGTACACAAGATGTGTCTCAAGACATCCAGGAGATGAAAGAAGAAAGTGCTAAAATGTCCCAAGAAAAAAAAGCCACTGTGCCAGAGCTCTTCCGTTCTCCAAACTATCGTCAAGCCATTATCATTGCCATCATGCTGCAGCTCTCCCAACAGCTCTCAGGCATCAATGCTGTGAGTTATCTTCCTGTCCCATCTGCTGGGCCTCCCTTATCTATGGCTAAACTTGCACTTGCCACTGATGCAGAGAGAACTGTACCTCCAAAAACCTCTTTGTGCCTTGACTGGAGGTCACTGTTGTATGATATGGCAAAGATGGCTGAGATGGAAGGTGAATATTGTATTGGCTTTCACTTTTCCCACGCACACTGTGGCAAGACACTGCAACCTTGCACCAAGTGAATGAACCGTGACTGGAACTGTGGAGTGCTGCTTAGAAACTCCCTGTTGGGATGTGCAAGCCAATTAGGCAGAGAATGAGGGACATGCTCTCAGACATGGGATCATGACTGTGTCCAACTTTTGCTTCTCTTCCCAGGTATTCTATTATTCAACTGGGATTTTTGAAAGAGCTGGTATCAAACAACCTGTGTATGCCACCATTGGAGCTGGCGTGGTGAACACGGTCTTCACTGTTGTGTCGGTGAGTGGAAGGAGGCCTGGGCCTCTTTAAGAGATGTGACTAAAGACAAGTAGCCAGTGGCTGTGGCAAAGCATTGAGCTAGGCAATGACCTGTAGGAGCAAAGAAAAGAATTAATCAAAGGCATTTGTGGGAGGAGAGGTGGGCAGAAAGAGGTATTGTTTTCCTAGGTGAAAAGAAAGGTAAAAAAGGAGTGGGGGAAAAGTGATGAGAGAAAGCAGCAGCAAGAACCAGAGTGGAAAAACTTGTGCTGAGGATGGAGTAGTCTGGTGACCTGAACTGAGATCACCACTGTCACTGAGGACTATAGGCAGATGAGAAAAGAGGTGCAGGACACACTGAGCAAGGGAGCCTGTCATACTTTTGCTACCAAAGTAATGGATTTTTCTTCTAACCTTTTTCCAGCTCTTCCTGGTGGAGCGTGCAGGGCGCAGGACCCTCCATTTAGTTGGTTTGGCTGGCATGGCTGTGTGTGCTGCTGTTATGACTATTGCTTTAGCTCTGAAGGTGAGTAAACAGTGTTCTTATTCATGGTGACCCCAGCAGGGGACCTATAAGACTTTACATCTGCAGTGCTGTGCTGTAGGGCAGGTAGAGCTGGGGCTGTACATGAGTGTGCAGTAGGGAGCGTGATTTTCTAACTCTGGAAACTGCTACAGTGTTCACAGTGCAGCTGAGAAAGTTGTGACACTGGAGTTGGCATTGTGCTGTGCCATGTTTGCCTCAAACTGCAGCTGATTGTATTTTGTTCCCTTGCAGGACATTTTGGAATGGATCAAATATATCAGCATTGTTGCCACTTTTGGCTTTGTGGCTCTTTTCGAGATTGGCCCTGGCCCTATCCCATGGTTCATTGTGGCAGAACTCTTCAGCCAGGGCCCACGGCCTGCAGCCATGGCAGTGGCTGGGTGTTCCAATTGGACCTCCAATTTCTTGGTGGGAATGCTCTTCCCCTATGCAGAGGTAAGTCCTGGTTTATAAAGCACTGTGGGAGCACTGCAGCATTGGAATAGGTGTCCAGAAAGGCTGTAGAATCTCCGTCCATGGAGACTTCCAGCACATGACTGTGTGACCTTTAATAACCTGACCTCTCCTGGAAGCTGTCACTGCTTTGAGCAGAGGGCTGGTGAATCCGGAGGTCCCTGAGTCAGTCTTTAGATTGTTACTGAAGTGCCATTGCTCACCTTATATTCTGGTGTCTCAACTGCTTGAAGCTTGCAAATAGTTGAAAGAGTCATCTCTGTTAGCACATCAAGGCTTTCCCTTTAAAAGCCTCAATTTTGGTCACCCCTAGGAACATTAAAGTCTTTCAGAAGCCCACAGGAACCTGATTTAATTTTAAAAAACATCGATGAGAAGAAGAGCATTGTTGGAGAAATGTGTTGGAATTTTGACCTGTCAATGGCAAATGACCTTGCATTTAGATTTATTTTCAAATCAAAACCTCTTGCTTTTGTCCTCCCTGCAGAAACTGTGTGGCTCCTATGTCTTCCTCATCTTCCTCGTTTTCCTGGTCATCTTCTTTGTCTTCACGTTCTTCAAAGTGCCGGAGACCAAGGGCAGGACTTTTGAAGACATCTCCAGGGGCTTTGAAGGACGAGCAGCATCCAACCCTACATCCCCTTTAGAGAAGAACCCCATGGTGGAGCTGAACAGCATACGACCTAACAAAGAAGTTGCCTAAGATTTGTGAAACACCCATTCTTCAACTCTCACATGCCTAAAGAGTCATTAAAGGAATAAGTAAAGAAAACCATGAGAACTGGGACATTTTTCCCCTCCTCAATTGCTGCTATTTTCTTCTTTTCACCCACATGCTTGCCCATTGTGCCAGGCTTACCAGCATTAATCGAATCTGATATGGGTGGTCTGCCATACTGGAAAGCACCTGGCACTTGCAAAAATAATCTCATCTTTCCTGTCAAACACCAGGAGAACAGAGAAGAGCTGGCAATGTTTTTTGCTTTCCTCACATCAAATTGCCATTTGGGGTTGACATACTTATGCACACAGTGACCATTATGTATTTGAATTACTATTTTTGTAGTGAGTTAAAGTGACCCGCTAAACAAGTCCCCAGCCCTTTGAGTCTATCTTGTGTGCGTGTGTACAGTGTTACACTGGAATTTAGCAAGCCTACCAAAAAGCCAGGTTGCTTTTTCCTATCCAGTGTGCACTTTTTTTAGCCTCAGGTAAAAGGGGACCAAGTCACATGCATATTTTTCCTGCTCTTTTATTTTTTTTTGTATAGACAAACTGAAAGCATACTTTTACTTCAGTTTATTTATTTGTATGTCACTTTGTAAATATTTATTTTTTTAATGGTGTACAAAAATGTACAGATAAAGAAATTGAGGAAGTTTAAGAGAAATAGCTATTCTAACAAAAGATGCTGTAGACTTGAGGCGCAATAAGGACTGTAAAGGAGGAATGTGGTACTAAAAAAGAGATCATTTTGGGTGGTATGTACAACAGAACCAATTATGCACATTACCTTTAAGTTATTTGTGCCCTCTGGAAAGAAATTCAAGGAATTGTGTACTTGTGAGAAGAGGTATGTTTCTCCACCAAAATCTCTGTTATTAGGGATTTTTTGGTGGCTATTTTAAATAACTGTTCCCAAGTGTTCATTAGGAAGTGATATTGGAGCTTACAATGAGTGTTGTTAGATTATATTTTCAGACATGGTTTTAAGCATTCTATGGATGATTGAGGGTGGTGATTGCTAACCAGAAAGTAACTTTTCCTGCCTTCTCTTGATTTTCTTTTTGGCTTTTCTGTTGTATTCTAATAGGTCATAAAGTCTGAAATTTGCAGATTGTTACTTAAAGGCGTGCAAGGACAAATTATTTTTCAAAGCTATATTTTTCTTAGCAGTTGTTCCTATAAATATTACAGAGGCATGTAGCATGACCCTTCTGGACACAGGCATGGTCAGTTATGGTACATGTAAGTTCATAAAAGTAGACATGCAGGACTAGAGAACAGAGGTACTGGAAGTTGCTAGTTTAGCAGTATGAAAGGTCTGTAGTGCTCAGTCCCCTGCTTGGTTGCAGACCTAATGTTTTTGCCCCATGTATCCTCTCTGGAATATCTGCATGATGATGTGGTGCTCAGCAGCGTGCTGTGTAGGTGTGTACAGCTCTGTAATAGTGCCTCTGTTAAAAGGGATGTGGCAGACAGTAATTGTACATCAGAAAACGTTGGTATCCCCACTTGTCATACTGCTGGGCAGTTGAGAGTGTGTGTGCGTGCACTCTGGCTAGCACAGTTCAGTTCAGGTAGGCAAAAAGTAGCACGTAGGTTATACTTGCAGTCAAGGGGTGGGAGCTTTACTTCAGTGACTGCACTGCTCTGTCAAGAGACTCCAGGCCTGTGCCTGTCCAGGCCTGCACAAGCTGTCTAAAGGTAGCACAGAGGTAGGTCCAATTTAAACTCCTGCTCTAAGATGAAGTCTGCATCTAGTCTGCAGTTTTGGACTTGATCAAACTCAGGTCTACCTGCTGGAATTCATTACTGGATTTGATAGAAGAGACGCAAGCTCACGGAGTCCAAGTTGGGTAAAAGGAGGAAAGGCTCAGAAAGGTAGGAAGGACAGCAAGACTTTTGTAGCATAGATAGCCCAAGCTTTCTTACCAACATACTGCTTCAGAACAGGTTAGAGAAGTTCCCATTGATGTATATTCTGGGGGGTCTGTCTGACATTTTCAGTAACTAGTGATGATGTTTCTATCTTCCCTAATATGATACAGTTGCAGAGATCAGTTAAATTTGCTGCTGTGAATTAATTTGAAATACCCCAGCTTTGCACAGTGCAGTTGTATTACATCCAATTTTACCTAGCTTTTTATCAGGCTTACATGCCAGATATTTATTCTCAGAAGTATTATATAAGACTTCTTTCCCAACTTTGACATTTTGACTCAGTTACACAGATTTCTGTGCCCTTCCTTTGACCCTCCAGCACTTCCAGACATGATATTTCTATATGGAGTATCTGTATGTTAGGAAATTACCCCTATGGCTGTGCATAAGAGCATTCCATACTTTGCATCAGATGTGTGTTGGCTTGGACCGAAATGTGTAGGCCTTTCTCACATGGTATCTCTTCGTTATTTTCTTTTTCTGTAACAGCATTGTGAATATTTTGGATGGATTTTATATGCTTATTAATGTGGTTGTTTCCTGGTTTTGAAATAAAAAATATTAAATAAGTGTCTGATTTGGATCTTGCTTTTACCTTGTAGGTCTTCTGTTTCTTATTCCTTTATCACAGCCTGGGACTATACCCTGAAATGTCACCCGCATCAACCCTGCAACCTTTTTGGCTAGCTCAGCACTCTTTGCTGTTTTAGTCAAGTGGAAATGGTAATTCCTCTCAACCTCCATGCAAATCACCTTTAATTCCCTTACTGTTACTCCTTAGGAGTTTTTAAACTAAAAAGGTGTGCATCTCTGCTTCCTGTTTACCCAAATCCTTTTGTTTGCCTACAAATACTTTCCCAGTGTTTCTCAGTAACAGGGAGAGGGATGTTGTTGGAGGTTATGAATCCTGTCCGGAGATAAAGTACCTGAGATTTCTACCCCTGCTCTCTTCTTGCTGTGGTCCTCAACTTCTGTGCTAGGAGGGTGAAGAAGAGACCCCTTTTCCTGTAGCTGATGCTTTGCTCCCTCTGTCTGGCAAGTGACCTTTATGTCCTCCTCTGACATCATGCCCATGTGTTGTGAAGAGAAAACCCCACTGCCCAACAGAGCAAGCCAGTTCCCAAAAGCTGATCCTACAGCTCAGGGACTGTGGTGTTCTGTGGCCCACTATTGGGTCTGGACTGCTCTCACCCATGGCTCTCTTGCCTAGGGAGTACTGGGCATCCACCTATTCTCAAGTTCTCCTTTTCCTGCCCTACAGCTATCTAACAAGTCCAAAAAGTCAATGCTTGTGTTTTTGGCAGAAACTATAGGAACAGTTCATCAAAAAAATGTGGAAATAAAATATCCTTTGGAGGAGGAGGATGGACTGAAGTTAGAGGAAGGAAAAGATGACAAAACCCAGAGTACCCTAGAGCAGGATTCTGGCTAATATGGCTCTGGAGTCAGCAGGCTGCAGTGAGGAAACAGTAGGGAATAATCTAAAGTCTGAAAAAGCTCAGCATAACAGAGATCCAGTATAGACTTTCTGAAGCCTGACGTTACTGGCTGCTGCATGCTCCTGGCCTGTGTTTTGCTAAGTTTGGTATGCAACCAGCCTTGGAGCTGGGGAGTGCTCTGGGCTAATATGTCTAGGATTGTTTTTCAATTCTAGCTGAGCTAAAAAAATAAAGCCCAGCCATCCAAACTCATAAGCATATCTAGCTCAAACTTAACTCTTAATATTTCGGTTTTCTTTGTCAAAATAGGAAGCAAAGAGCAAATTCACTTGGGACCAAAGCCTGTGATTCACTGAGCTCTAAATTAATGTTTTGTGTAGTTTTTGTGATAAATGAGGCTTTGTTTTAGATCTGGTTATTTTTGAAAATTGTAAGGAAGCTTCAAAAGGAAAACCTGTTTGCACTTAAATGGTTTCAATGTGTGAAAATGGGTTGTTTTCAGTTGAAACTGTTCATCACATCCAAGTGAGCATGTAGGCAGTTCTTGTGGCCTCCACAATCCCCCACAGAAATGAGTCACTGGAGAACCCTTCAAAGAGTGAAACTACTGCTGAGTTGACAAGAGAAGGCCCCCAAAGGTCACAAGTGACATCAGCCACATCAAATGTTTCAGTGCTGTTTTACAGGCTAGAGCATGATAGAGTGTCACAGCATCACTGACAATATTTGTCACTTTTTGCTTGTGCTATTTGTGATGAACATATTTGTGTACCAGGCAAAAATAGCATTTTATTTCTGTGAGAAGAAATGTGGGGGGAGAAAAAAAAAAAAGAACAAAACCCACATTTTATTGGAGGTAGATTTCACTGATGCATGCCCAGTGCACAAATCTTTATATTTGATTTTGTACTCTAAAAAGAGCACATTTGAGTTCCAGACATTTCAGGAGCTGGGGCTGCTTCTCCCTTGGGAACAAATCTGGATGAGAGCCCAAGCAGAACTGCAGTCTTACCTCCAAGCAAAGTTGCTAAGCCTTTCTTTGAGGGCTACTCCAAGAAGGAACATTTACTAGTGTGGTGGGGGACTGTGCCATCATAGGTTTCATTTGAGAGGAAGGAAGGTGTGGACACACTGCTAATGCCATTATGATGGGCTGTGATGGAGCAGCAGCAGGAGGTGACTCAGTACAATGTTTTCTCATGCTGTACACATCATGAGAAAGATCCTGACAGCAGGTAAATCAAACACAGTTTGCTGTGCAGAAAACTTACGTGTCCTTGGCTTTTTTTCAGGCTTTCTATAGATGTGACCAAGAACGCAGTTCTAATGTTTTCTGCACTTTTAGAAGGATTCTTTGAAGACATGAGAGATGCTTACTGGAAAACCTGGGGTACATGTCTGTGGTCTGTCACTTACGCTTTAGCCTGGCTCTGTCCTTACACTGTGAGTTACCAGACAAAAGGCAGTTATCTTCATAGCATGCTGCTGTGAAAGACATCACTCAGCCTGTCTTAGACGAGGAAAGAAAATTGTATTGTTTCCTAAAATATCTATCGCTAAGGCAATTTAATAGGTGTTACTTGAAAGTATGCCATTTCTAGTGGAGACAGACTGTGTAACTTCTAAAATAATTCACTTGCTGTGATAAATCTTGTTTCTA